GCTCGGAGACACAAAACAGTTCTGCTGTGGCTTTGATTGGAACTACTTTCATCAGCGAAATTGAGCAAAAACCTATTTCTGTTTTTGCTTTCAGACAGTATCATTCACATTTGCCTTCTGTGTTTATTATTTCAAGTGTTACTGTTTCTCTGTGCCTTCAGCATTGTATTATTTACTTTTTCTTTCTTCAGACTGTCCACAAAAAGACATTTTACTACTTGGAGCAGCTGATTTTGAAGCACAAGCTGCATCAGAACACAGTGCGCATCAAAGAGATCCATGGTATATTTCCTCTTCGGTGTTTGTCTGATGCTGTGTTATGAGTTCTGGTTATAGTCATAGTCTGACCCATCTGTATTGTTCTTCCTTTTTAATATATTTCTGTCTGTGTGTCTTCAGAGGGCATTGATTTTTACTACGCCTCTAAGCAGCACGCTCAGAAGATGGTGGATTTCTTGCAGTGCACCGTTCCCTGCAGGTCTGAAAATCACAGTCAGTAAATGTTCAACGTGTCTTATGAAACAAAACGTTCGTTTCGTTTGTGCACCTGTTCTGCTGGATAAACGATTTCACATGCATTCGCTCATATGTAGAGTTTAGTGATCTGAATGCACACAACTGAAATCCCAAACATATACCATGCACTTTGCAAACTGTAAGATTCGCTTCGTTTAGTTCAGTGTGTCGTTGAAGGGAAGCATGAGAAAGAGCTAAAGGCTTGTATCTAATCAAATCCCTGCTGTGACGAGTTTTTATGTTGGGTGTATTAAACTAATAGGGAATGTTGTTTGTGAAGGTCGAAGGCGTCTCAGCGGTTGATCTCTCACGATATTCACTCCAATACCTACAACTACAAAAGCACCTTCTCAATGGAGATCGTTCCTGTGTGTAAGGTAAACATCGTTTATTCATTCTGTGCTTCGTTCATGCTGGGCGAATGCTTTTCACTGACTGTTTTTTATTTTCTGGTTCTCTGTTGGTGTATGTTGTACCGTCAAGTAGGGCTGCACGATATTGGAAAAAACACCCATTGCGATATTTAGTTTTCGACATAGTTGTGAACAGAATTCGGTGATCAGTATAAATATAGCGATCAGTATACTGAACATCACACATCCTGCGATGTGATATCTGTGAAATATATCGATGCTGAAACGATATATCGTGCAGCTCTACCATCAAGAAGAACGGTTTAATCATTGGAACACATAATTAAAAAGCGGGACGCATTATTCTGTCCTGTATATTCCGCTCTGCTCACACACTCATGGATCGATTTCACATGTAATGCATAGCTTTAGAAAGTGAAATCCCTCCCCGCTGTCTCGCAGGATAACGTGGTGTGTCTGTCTCCACGGCTCGCCCAGAGTCTGGGAAACATGGGTCAGGTGTGCGTCTGCATCCGGGTCACCAGCTCTATACACATGATTGACCCCAACACCCTGCAGAGTGAGTTACTGCACACTTACACGTACTTGTGTTCAAAACATAATGGCTTTTCTTGCTCTTCTCTATCAGCTTGCAACATGATATGTTATTGCTTAACGGCACACAAAGTTATTGTATGTATTGTGGTGTCCTATATTGACATACATGTTTTTCTTCAGTTTAGTTGGGGTTGTTATGTACGTCTGTATATTGTCTTGTAATGTGTTTATGCTCTTCTGTCTTGCTGGGGGAGGTTGTTTGTATGGTCTGTGTACACTAACATTCAAATATTTGGGTCAGTAAGATATATTTTGTTCTTCTATTCAGCAAGGATTCATTAAATTGGAAATGCATTTTCTGAACTGATAATAATCAGAAATGTTTCT